AAATTATGTCTTCTTATACCTCATGTTTGTGACTCCTATTTCCATTAACTTATAGATAACAATCTATATAGTATATATAAAAATATAGTAATGTACAGATATTTTAGAAGTGTCCTCAGCATGAATATTGAACAGTCCTCAAATTCAGACCAGTTTTCCTCTCAAAGTTGTACATGGAGTAGAAGGATGTGTAGTTGCAGGATATAACTGTATTCAAATAAAACAAGACCAAGTGAAAAAGGACTCTTGGACCTAACAATGAGACCATCAAGGAAAGATCTTATAGAAGTGTTGAAGCTCAAAAATGCCACAGAGAAAGCAAATATACTTATGCAAGACCTGAAGTCAAAAAATGAAATTAACTGAGCATTTCTAATGCAAAAATAACTATCTATTGGTCAGTAGAAAAGGTGTGCAAGGCATTGTTTCTAAAATGATGTATGTATCAAAATCTTATCAAGTTTTAGCATGCATTTATATTAGTTCATGGAGGTGAACGCTATAAACTCTTCAGTGCAAAGATTCAGCTTGTGTTCCAAAAGTCTGTAACTCATAATTTGTTGGAAAACCAGAGGGTATCTTGGGATAGTGTGACTGAGTACTTGCTGTCTTTCCATTTTTGCCCTCCATTTGCTACTGCCAAAGCAGGCTTCCAACTGCATGGATTATTAGTTAGTTAATAGTTAGAAACTCACAGCCATTCTGATGCTGCTCTTCATCTTTTCTCATTAATTCTTCTTTCTAATTACTAGTCCAGTCTGATATGGATGAAACACCAGCAAAAGCAGAAAATATCTTTGTTGTACAAGTTATATATAAATGGAGTATACTCATTCAGCAGGTCCTACTGCCTAGCTTAAAACCTATTTATTTTTTCTATTCATCTTGCATGAATTTAGAGATCAGTCCTGCTGTCATGCATTACATGCATTTGGCTTCATGAATGCCGTATGCACAGCTTTATTTATTGCAAAAATTTATCAGAAAGCCCCAATTCTTTTCTACTCAAATTTGTAGAGGAGGAAATTCTAATGGTCTTTTCCATGACTTTTCTACACAACCTAAAAAACAACTTTTGAGACTGAGATTATAAACACTCATATCAGCCATTGGACTTTAAAATCAAGTTTTCCTGATTTTTTTAAGTTGTAAAAATATTTTTCATTCTCTAATAGATCTTTAGATGCCTCAGAAAGATTTTTTTTTGTCTTGATTAATCTAATTTTTTCACATATTTTAAAGTTTATTTTTGACCGAGGAGAGTTCTTTCAATTGCACAACTTTCTCATTTGTACACAGGTACTGTGGTGTAATTTGCTCCAGGCTTATGTGGAGGCTTGTGTCAACCTTTGTTCTCCCCATGTCTTTAGCCTTAATTATCCCATAAATTACTTTGAAATGCCTAGGTTTGACCTTCCTATCTCCAATTCTTAAGTGATATTTGGTTTTTATTTATTGCTGTAGAAGCACAAACGAGGCTGCAGAACGTGAGTAGACACAAATTCTTGACCACATGTCTTCAGAAGAGGTTGAGCAGTAATTATGTTCTGAAGTTGTCCTTTGAACCAGCCTTTTTCTTTATTTCTTTTATCTAATCGATGTCTTTTAGGTCAGGAATAGGTTTATTGTTGATTTAATAGCAATAGGGACTATTCATCCCCTGTGATGTGATCGGGATTGCTTTCTCTTTCCATTGTGTCATTTAAGTTCTTTTGTACCTTAAGCTTAAATTCCCCACTATATCTGTTGTCTGAAATGGTACTTTCTCAAAACACAGCCTTTATTTCAATATGTATAATTCCTTCTTCCCTTCCAAAAAAACTGGGGCATTGTCCTTTGAATATATTCACTGGATTGAGAGCAAGATGCTGCAGATTTTGCATGTTACCCCTATGCTGCTGCTTCCTGTATCCAGTCTGCTCTGTTGACTTTTAACAGCATTTTTATGTAGCTCATGCTTTTCTTTAAGCTTTATAAGCAATTATCTGGACACAACTATATGGGTTGATAGTGACGACTTGTTTATGTCCTCTCTGTGCTTCTTGAATGGTTAAATTTGCATATAATGTGTACTTAGACATTAGTCAAGGGCATGGAGATGTTTGGTGCAGAACTTCTAGTGAGTTGGGCAGTATCATGAAATGAATGTTAATTGGCTATTTTTATTTTCTGTTATGTTACTTGCTCATTTGCCTTTTGTCCTGTGAGAAGATTTATCCCAAGTCTGCATGACTAAACAAGGCACATAAGTCCATCAAAAAATGCAGAGAGATTTACATAAAAGTAAGCTTTGCTTTCAGTTATTTGTAGAGATCAAATCTGTAGCATTAGTACCAGACTCAGAAGAAACTATTTTGTTTAACAAACACATTGCTAGATTTTGATTTAGAATCAGTCTGCTTGTTTCTTCTGGTAAAATAAAGTTTGTAGTATGTGATTTTTCCCTTCCTTACTTGATTAGAGTACAACACATATTCTTCTGATGCCTGCAATATGAAGGAAAACTCTTGATAGTGGCCATTTCCAGTTAGCTCTCACTGTTTCTCTGACTTGCTTAAAGAAAACCAAATGTTAAAAGAACAAACAGCAGCTAATTTGCTTGTGTGACTCTTCTTTTTTTTAGTTGTAGTTATCTTTGTTCTCATAAAATAATATGACACTATGCATAACAGAAAAGAGATTGTGTAGTGGTGACTTACTGTATCAGTTTCTTGGTGGTGTTTATGTAGTACTGCAAGTGGTGCATGGTTTTAATAATCAAATAAGGAAATAAATATAGCTCACTTTACCTCTTGCTTGTCTCCCTAGCAATATTTACAATCCAGTTACAAGAACTTAAGAACATCATTGTTTTATATTTAAATTTAAATAATTTTATTTTACAAGTATGTGAAGTGAGGCATCATTTAACTGTATTGTTTTATTTTTTTTAAGGACATAAATAAACAATGAAGTTAGTAGGAAGGTACAATTCTGTTTGGGTCTTCTTCATGCACACATATGGAAATAATTAGTAACAAACATCAGCATTTCTCATATAACACTTCTCCCAAATAAGTTTTGAAACAGATGTAAAGCCCAGGTCCTATCACACATCATTAGTTACCGTCTTCCCTCCTCACCAAAGCTACTTTGTGGTGGCAATTTTGTGCATGCTCCCTGGCAATATGCATCTGTAATTAAGCTCAGCCCCAGTCACAGTGCATATGAAGTGGTTGGTTTACTCTGCCCTCAGAGGTGTCACATTGGATGGGAACTTGGAAGGGGAGGCTACTTCATCTGTTCTACAAAACAATTTGCAAATGCTGCCCATGTTAGAAACCAAAGGGAATGTATCTTTTCTCCAGTCATTAAAATGTGTGTTTGGGGGATCAATGAGTCTATATATTTTGTCAAGGGTACAGAAATGGATTTATTGATTTTGACAGTACCATAGTCCTATGCCAGATAGGGCTACACATAGGTAAAAAAGCCCATTATTAAAGAACAATTTTCTCAAAAACTCCGCTGACTGTCTTTCTCCACAAACAGGATGTAGTTTCTGTCCTAAAGCAGAATAAAAGTTGACTATATCATGTTAGGGTTGCCCATCACCACTGCCTTTGACATAGTAAGAACATTAGAAAACTCCTTCTGAGTAATCCCCTATAGTCTGTAAAGCCCAGCAGCGTCTCCACCTTACTGTCTCCAGTGGTAGAGGGAGATGTGATTTAAAGACCAAAAATATGACACCTGACTGTCTTTTGCAGTCCATTCATTTTGTATTTCTCTAATATCCAAAGTAAATGTATTAGGGATGATGGCTCACGGATTCGTCAGCCTCTTTTTGGACATGCTGACACTGTCTCTATAACCAGGATCTTCTACTAGCAAGATGTAGAATTGGGCTGTTTCTTGTGCATATATTACTTTCATTTATTGTGTTTTTAAATCTCTCTGTTTCATCAAGTACCCCTGGTTCTATTACAAAATTTTGTAAATAGAGGTTCAAAATTATGTTGGATATATGGGTAGAGCCAAATTTTGTATAGTAGTGAAATACTTGTAAATATTCATTTTTCATTGTGTTCTTTTAAAGGGAAAAATAAAAACTTTTGTAGTATAGTTTATAGGCTTGGTGTTGAACAGAGCATTTCATTGTGCTACTTGCAGTACCAGTAAATATTTTTCCTGTCTATTTAACTGTTTCAAAAGCCAGATTTTTATTCCTACCCAGACATGATAAAAAAAAAAAAATCTGTGTTGTAATTGTAATTAAGGAGATAAAGTTACATTTTATTTAACTGCAGTCACCCTTCTCTATTTCTCATTTTTCTATTGTGAATCAAAGTTTAAAATAGAAATGTTCGTTTCTAGTCTATAAAATTTAAAATTAAGAGTGATTTAGAGGGAGAAAATCTTGCTGACAGCCTATGTAATACTTGAATGAGGCAATCAGATAAAAAAATGGGAATTAAATTATGGACTTCAGAAGCAACAAGAAATAAGTACTATTGGTAACAGGGAAGACTTCACTTTAGACTAGAGATCATTCCCTGTTTGGACCATGAGGCATCACTGTGGCAATATACCAACTATAGACAAAATAAGTTCTTAGTGACCAAGCATCAGTATGTTTGCCGTTGTGTTTTTAAGCCATTTGTAGTCCGGAAATTAGGAGAAGATGACACTGAGTATTTAGTTCTCTGCAAAAAACACCTTTAGTCATCTTGGTTTTGAATTCTCCCTAACATAAAAATAGCTCCAAAAATAAAAAAAAAAAAAAAAAAAAAAAAAAAAAAAAAAAAAAAAAAAAAAAAAAAAAAAAAAAAAGAGTATACCTAAAAATAAGAAATGAAAATTGTATATATTTCCTCTGTTATATTTCCATACATGTAGGAAGGCTTAGATTTTAATTTTCTTCACAGATATGGCAATATTTTTTTTTTTGCCTTTGCTGTAGGCGTTCATGACTGTCTGTGGATGTGTGTGATAAAAACTGTAACACTCTATTATTACAGCTTCTGCAATCAGGAAAAGCTGCCCATCACATTTCAGTCCTGTGTGATCACAAAGGAGTGCCAGGTGTCAGAGTGGTCAGAATGGACCCCCTGCTCCAAAACCTGCTTTGACATGACAACCCCTAAAGGGAATCGTACAAGATCACGGACCATTAAGCAGCTCCCTGTTGGCAGTGAGAGTGAATGCCCACAATTAGAAGAAGCAGAGCAGTGTGTTACTCAAGGAGACGGCGTAGCACCCTGCATTACGTAAGTTGGTTCCTTTCACTTCTCTGTTACTAAAATGAGCAATTTCAATGAAGTGTACAAGGTTGGTAATGGAATATTGACCAAACCATTATTAAAGAAATATTAGGTAGGACTTTACCTTTTTTTCTTTATTCCTGTTTATTCAGTGCTCTTGAAAGCCCAAAGTCTGCAAATAGTTCCCATTGTAGTGTAACCAGTTCCTTCTCTAAGTACAGGAATAATAATATTTTCTTTTCATTCATTTCAGTTTTTAAAAGACAATATTTGCACATACGCAGATTCAGGCAAGATGAAATTGTGTTGATTTGTCAGTGATCTTTTCCCTATGTAACTTTTCTATCAGAATCGTTGTTTACTGAATTTCTTGTCTGTTTGCAAACCAAATGTTGAATAGAGGAAAGGGGTGTCAAACATCTGGTTAGCTACAAGCTAGCAGACTGTTTTAGTGAGACTTGTACTCAGCACAACAAAGGCCCTAGATGGGAAGTGGGAGAGGCTAACCACGACAGCAAATAAAGTTTAGGAGAAATGACAGTGACCACTTTACGATTCAAGATATTGCAGTAATCCTTATCTAATCAAAATTAATATTAAAGTTCCAACTGTGTTTTTTCTTTATCAAACTAAAAATAGGATCTGGAGAAATGTCACTTGATATTAAGAATTTTGTCTATGGTATATATTTTTTTTCATTTAATAGTTGAAATATCATCTTTCTTTATCTCCAGCTGCATTAGGAAGCCCTTTGCTTTATTTAGCCTTAAAGTACTTGTTAGGCAGGGAATTCTGTAGCATTTCTTGCAGTTCATAATCCCAATTGGGGTTTTAACTGTGAGTCAAAGGTCTTCTTTGCTGTGTATTCACTGATTAGGAAGCTTCCAGCTTCTCATCATTCATCAGTACTCAGCAGGGATGCTTCAATACTGCAGAATGATCTTCCTTTTAAAAGAAGTGAAAAAGAGAACTTACTGAAAAGTCTTTCTATAGTCATAATAAAGAAATGCAATTATAGTTTCACCTTGCTATCCAAAAGAAACTTTTGTTTCAAAGGTAACAGTAGGCTTTTGGGTTATCTGGAGGGAGGGGGAATTGTGAGGTTTTTCCCTCATTTTCTGGCTCTTATGTTTCTCAGCATTCACATCTCTTTCGTATTTTGGATTTTATTTATGTAAATTCTCAAGCTCTAAACAAATGCTGAGAGTCACAGCCTTGAAAGTTATCTGAACATGGACTAGATGTCCCTGTATAGTTTCATCCCTCAAATAAAATATTTATATATGTGGTATGTTTCAGGAATTAAACAGAAAAGATCCTCGTAAAGAATAATGATTTTAAAAAATAAATAATACAAAAAAAGTTTCTATACACATAAAATGCGAGATTTAATGCACCTCTGTGTGCAAGAAATTGCGGTGCTCAGGCCTTTGATGAAATTAGTGAGGTACTAAGGTGTTTCAGCGAGTCTAATTTAATACTGTGTAGAATGGCTCCGTGATTTCTGGAGACCTGACTATGGGAATGTGATACAGGTACGGCTGGCGCACCACCGAGTGGGCAGAGTGCCGCGTGGATCCTCTCCTCAGCCAGCAGGACAAGAGGCGAGGAAATCAGACAGCGCTGTGCGGAGGTGGCGTTCAGACCAGGGAGGTGTACTGTGTGCAGGCTAACGAAAATCTCCTCGCCTACCTAAATACACTCAAGGATAAAGAAGGTAAATTTGATTCAATTGCAATGAAATTAGTGTGAAATCAGAGCATGTCAGCATTCCACAGCTCTTTGGCAGCTTCCATTGTCTTCTGTCATGAGTGCCTCCTTACCTTGTGAGTTACTGCTATTTTTTAATTCAGATGAAAATGCTTAATTGCGGTAGCAGAAATTTAATTCTCTATGCTGCAAATATAGATAAAAAAAAAAATTCCTACAAATTACTATTTCTTAGTGTCTACTGAAATATACTGTCTAGGATACCTTTCCATAAGAAAGAACATGAAAATGTGGATCAGAAGTCCTTGATTTGTTTTTTTTCATCTACTGTAAATTTCTGTGTGTCCATCTGTGTGATGAACTTGTGCTATTTGACTTGCAGGTAGAATATGTCAATTCTGGCATGTAAGCTCAATATAGAAAGATGTAAAAATATTATTAGATGTAGTTTGCAAGGAATTTTTTTTTCCTTGATTTGGTCAAGTTTTTAAGTAGCTTTCAGATCTTTGAGCCAATAAAATTTCATGGATTTATTTACCTAACTGAAAGAGAGAAGATAATATTCCTTGTCACTGTTAAAGCCTGTACAGCTTCTTAAGAAAAGAGAGAATAGCTTAGAATACAAAATCTTTAATTCATTTGGTAGTCTACATGCTTTAGAATAGCACTTGAGTAGTTTACATCTACTTCTGTATAGTAGTGCAGAGCTATAGATTCAGAAATCAGTGAATTAAGCTAAATGCATTTAATATTTAACTTTTAAATTAAATTATATCCTCTACCTATTTCATACAAATACACATTACAGCCGTATACTTCAGGAAAAACAACATCAATATGCAAATCCTACATAATACCATTTTTTGTCTAGGGCTGGCCAGACAGCAGACTAGTGAGGTTCCTGCTGGTTTAAAGGTACTCTCAAACTTGCCGTAGCGGTAGAGTTTGTGGGGAATGTTAATGCCAACATCCATTTCAGCATGACTGCTCAGATCAGTAGGGTCTGACTTGTGAGCTCCGAAGCCCCACATCTGTATTTATTAAAGAAGAAGCTTTCAAGCCTCTTTGTCTTATGCAAATCAGCTCTGCCCAAGGGCTTTTAGTAAATCGCCTCTGCTGAACAAAGTTTAGATGCCTATGCTGTAGTCTGAGCTACAAAAACCTCCCAGCTAAAGAGAGGTAACAATAAAATCAGTGGCAGCTTACCGTTCAGAATGATGATTAGGATTTTGGTAGGCTGTGAAGTCTCGCCAGATTAGGCGTGTGTGAAATTTACCCTTATCAAACTGTGACAGGAATACATGGAGCCCATCAGGAGGTAATCTCTGCAGGCTCCTGAAAGCTGATTAAAATGTAACTAGTCTTTGGATGCATAAACATGAGAACAGTTTTTCAAGAGCTCAAACTGGGAGTGAAGTGGTTCTTAGTTTAAAAAGGAGCTCTGGGCTGTTTCCACATTGGGGGACAGATTTTCAGAAGAGGTGCTGCTCTTCTCATCCTCCCTCTCTCTTCCCTCATAGAATAGAAAACAATGAGTAATTTGAGGATGGGAAAAAGCCAGGACACACACCCACCAGATTATGCTATGGGGAAACGCCTTCATCTCAGTGTAGTTTACTGTTGGTTGTAATCTTGGTAAGGCTGCTTTAAAGACCTCTGTTCTCATATACTCATGGTGGCGTTTCCCTGTTATTTCAGAAAGTCAGTCACAGAGCAAGTCGAAGGCTAGTGCTGCACCTCTGCTATCAATCACTTTTGAAATAACAGGTAGGTAAATTAAGGCCTCCAACCTGACCTCTTGGTTAAGAGCATGCAAAGGAGGCAATGCCCCTTTGGGGGACTTTGTTTGCTATATGTGTTCACTTAACATGTTTATGCAGCTCTGAAATAGTTAAATGAATTTGAGCATTCTCAGGAAATTTCAGACCAGTTTGAAAGTGACAGGCCAAAATTCAATCTAATGAAGCTCATGAGCCAGCTGGGATGATGGAACACTTGCCTGCTCCAATCCTGAACTCGTTCAGCTAGTGTTTGCTTTTTCCCTCACTTCTGAGCATTGGGAATTGTTTTTCAGCTTTCATCATAGCCGCTGTCTCCAGTCCCTTCTGTATTTTTAAAACACCAAGTCAGGCCTCCAGTAAGAATTTGAACTTCTAATACTGAGCTGAACCATAATCCCTCACACTATTCAGGTCAGTAGGAAGAAGAAGGAGCATTGGTTGCAGTACTTAAGCAGTGACAATTGAGTTCCTGGAGGCCACAGTCATTCTGCCATTTACTTGTCACTGGCTCAAATTGTTTCATCACTGTTCACCTACTTAACTGGTTTAGTCATGAAGTTCCTTTTACTATATGAGGTGGACTGTTTCATCTTATTCCGAGTACCTTTAAAACCCTCGATGTAGAATAAAGAAGAGGAACATTCCTTTATGGGCATAAATTTATTCTACATCTGAAAATACACATTCATTGCCCTATTAAATACAGGGGAACTGCTTACATGCGTGGAATTGTGCCATTTATCAGAGCATAATATTCTGAATTATCTAATGTGTTTTGAGGAGAGGATTCACCATTATAGAAAATGAGAAGAAAATATGTTATTTACTTGTTTGCCATAATGTGTTTTAGGCTTGGGTTTTTCTTGGGATTTTTTGAGTGAGAGTACTTGAAAAAAATTTCTTTGTGTTGTTTTCTATGAAACCAGTGTGGCAAATGATCAGAAAGAGAAATATGACATTGTGTCTCCCTATACTGATACAGTCACATACAAATTCAATCTCTTTGCCAGCCTGGTCATTACTGGGCACTAGTCTCTTGAGGGTCTTTAGAGAAAGATGGAGGGTTTGATATCTTGATAAACATAGCCAATGCATAAAAACAAAACTGCTCTTTTCCTTTTTGGTTGTTTTTAAAATGCAGTATTCAAAGAGGTGTTTTCCAATTGTATAAAATATATTCAGCTAAAATTTCCTAATATAGAAGATGATTTGAGGAATGGATAATTAAATCTTACTTTATTTTTTAGGTTACTAGCCTCAAACCTAAAATCCCTTGAAAACTGAATCTAATTTATTGGTTAGACTGAAAGAGGAAGGGAGATTATCTAAATGCATTAACTTTTCTTTCTATTTTTGGCCCAAAATTTGGTCAAATTTCACATAGATCTTGTAATATTACACACAGTCGACATTCAACATTACTTCCAAGGAATAAAAAACAATCTTTATTGCTGACACAAGAGAGTATGAAAGGACAGAGATAAGACAAGGTTTTAAACTGTAAATATATGCATCCAGTATCTTCTTATGTCAGAGCGTCTTTGCTAAACAATAAGCATCAAACCCTGTGTTCAATCATACTTTTGTGATGCTGAAAGAAATGAATTTAAATTCATGGAAACAAGATGGTCATAAGATGCCCAGGCAAAGCTGTTTTCTTCTTTTACTGTCATCTTAAGAAAAGAATTTGAATAATCCTGCATGAAATTCATCCTAAAGTGCTCAATGATGAACAAAAATTTAATAACCTGAAACAGAACTTTTCTGTCCAATGGTTGAATTTTTTTGTTGCAAAAGCAATATATAAGAGATAACATTTGTACATCACTTAGGGTCTAAAAGCAGCATTTGGAAAGCATTTTGGCATATTTAAAGATTTATTGATATCTGTGGTATGAAAAAACTGCTATTGCTGAAAGATTCCTGATTAAAGATCTTTGTTATTTTTCTGAGTAAAATTCCCTGAACAAGTGTGATGGCAAGTTCTTTATCATGATGAAGGCTAGAGATGAAGCATGGAATTCCTCAGAGCACTTTCTCTATTCCCTGAAGCAAGACTGTGTCTCAAGGGGTATGATTGGCCCTTAATTTCAACTGTCCCACTTGGGCAATTACCCATTTAAAAAAAGGTTAAAAATGTATAGATAGCAGTTACTTACTGTTTTTCTTTTTCTTATTAGAAACTATTCAATACAAATTCAACAGGCAAATTATGTTTACTTGTATTCATTTTCTACACCAAATATGCTTATTATCTTGATTATCATGCATGTTAGGTGTGCATGTCAAAATTACTGTAAAATTCAATGATATGTCATGAAATTTAATTTCAACATAGCATTATGCTAATGCTGGGATATTAGGCTTTATTTTTTTTTTCTTTTTGAGAGAGATTGGTAAGTTAGAGACAGTAATATTAAATGACTATGTGCCACCACTATCTGCCTTCATTATATGGACCAACGCATTGTAAAACTGTGCCAAAGGAGGCCACATTGAAAACCAGAGTAGGGTGAGGATTTTTCATTCCATTTTCCCCTTAAAAAAGTGAGAATTGGATGCTTTTTCTGAAACTGTAAAGACCACATGCTTAGAAAATCTAAATGGAAAGACATACACACATGTCTACAAGCTTGACTGTACTTTAACAGCCTGGTGTTTACTTTCACATTCCATAAGTGATTATTGATCTTCTTTTCCAGACAGATATTTTGTCATATACTGTATTTATTCTGAGAGTCTTTCCATTAAAAGCGGTGGCAAAAATTAATGATGTAACTTCTTCCCACAGGAAAAAAACCAAACTGAATAGAAGGAGAGTGTTTTAAGTTAAGGAATTTTATGTTTTCTCAATCTACCAAAGTGAAATAATATTGTCAGACTTCTAGCAAATATTGTCTGCTTACTGTAATATTTTGTCAAGTCCTTTATTATGGAAGAGAACTAATATCTTCCTTTCAATGAAATGGTACATTATCAGTTAGAGTTCTGTGCCTTACTCTGGCACCTTATAGAATTGTCCTGTTAATTATATTACCTGGAAAGCCAAAAGAATAAAGTTTGGAAGGAGAAGGATGATTTTTGCCCAAGTTATTGATCTTTAAAGAACAGAAGGCTCTGCCTTCACATGTGTCTCTATAGATTAATAACGCTTAAAAAAAGTCCTGTATAGTTTTTACAACTACATATATACATTATGTATACATATTTATAGACATTTATAGCAAATACAAACCATATATATATCTGAAACAAAGCCTTTCTTGAACTAAAGTTGCTGCTGCACAAATCTTAACTGCTGAGTGTGCACTTGATGGTCTTTAGAGTAAAAGAAGAAAAGTTTTTGCCAAAAATTTAGCTGTGTTTCATGTTAAAGCTTAAAAATAATCTTTTAAATAATAATTAGCCAGGCCTTTGAAGTTATAGTATCATATAGCTTACATATACAAGTGCAAAGGGATTTATGCAGCTTTTTGTTCAGTTTCTTAAGAGAAGAAGTAATGAGATAACAGGACACAAATTTATGTAGAATGAAAAGTGAACAATTATGGTGGTATAATTTACTCCTCAAAAGAAAGGACTGGGTCTGAAGGGGGTACTGCAATATCTACAGTCTTCCTGTCTCCACATAATGAGATTTGGCTTTGTTCATGCAAAGAGTAAACTAACTTCCATTAAATTTTTTTTCAAGGCAGGCTTTTATTCCATCATGTCATCAGATTGAAATGATGGGATAGCAGCCTTTCTGACTAAAGGATGGTTCTGACTTAGAGCTGAGTATTAGGATTATGACCAATGACATATGAGAAATATTTTGACTTTGTTTCAACAGCTTCAAGGCCAGTAGACCGTAAACTGTGTACAGGACCTCTTCCCAGCACCTCCCAGCTGTGCCATGTTCCCTGTCCTACAGAGTGCGAGACCTCGGCATGGTCAGCCTGGGGACCATGTACCTATGAAAGCTGTGATGAGCCTCAGGCCAAGAAGGGTATGTAAAAATTCAGCAGAGCCTTTTAATGGTGATATTTACTATTCAAAGTCACTAGGTTATGTAAGCACACTAAATTTTGTACCGAGATGTGTATATGTAGTGCCTCTGGGCATCAAAATAAAGTCATTGAATTAGGACTACATTTGACATCACTGTTGCACCAAAGGTAGCAAAAATGTAGCCTGTTTACTCGGCTCTCAAGGTCAGTTTGGGTTTCTACAGGTCAATTCCAGTTTCAAACCTTCCTATCAGATTGAAAGAGATACAGTTTGTGTGTTCAAATTACAACTTTGGTACTATCTCAAAAGGAGGACAGAAGCCTCCTTTGAGGTGTGTAGCATAAAAGGCACTCATAAAAAGATTTACAGTTCAGTAATAGCTTAAGAATTCACCATTAGACTGTAAAGCATGATCTGGCAAAGGGATGGCACCATTCCCTGTTGATACATGAGGCTGTTTTACTTACGACATATGCGCTGGTTTCAATTTCAGCATGTTTTACAACTTATTGCCGTTCAGAACAGATTGTAGTACCCTGACATCAAAATAGGAAAGCAAGAATACAGTGACAGGGACCTCACGGTAGAAGTCTGTGGGCTTCTGGTTGTAAATGAGAAAAACTGGCCTAGTCATTGCTGCAAAATTATTATCTGATAGAACTGGGAATACAGACTTGGTTTCTTGACTGAAAACAGTCGTAAGAAAGGGCAGCCACATATGTCCACTGGAAGGAGCAACTATGATTACTATGTTTGCTTAGTTGGGTATTTCTGGCATATTGCCAGCTACACTTCTGTCTGGGCAGCAGTAATACAAGTTTTGCAGAGTTGTTTTGTGGAACTCTGACCCAACCTTGATCAGTTCAAGAAGGAAAAAGCAGTTCAGTGTGCAAATCTATCAGATTAAGTCTTGTCTGAGTACAGCTATCAAGAAGTCTGTTATTTCAGTTCCTATTCCATCACTGAAAGATTTGCTACATTTTCATGGGTAAAGTTTAGGTTTGTGAGACTGATTTGGACATCTGTCTAATAGAAATACATTAGGATGTACTTTGTGCCAGCCTTTATCCCTGCATGCATGAGCAGGGATATTTTCTCAACTGCCAATGTTTTCTTCTTATCTGGAAATTCTTACATTTTATTTTACAATTGCATTGACAGTTCTTCTGAGAGAATGATGTGAAAATTGTACAGGCACTCCCATTTTTAGCAGCATGTCTCTCTACGTATTTCCAGATTATTTGCATCCTTTGTATCTGTAGATATTGGAGTTCTTTATTTTTGAAATTATATCAGCCTTTTGTGTCAGGCTTAATAAAACCTTTTGCACATAATTTGGCTGAACTCTTCAATTTAGAAAAAAGGAAACAGCAACTGAAGAAAAATGGAAAAGTATTTTTAAAGTAAATACTTACTATAATTTAATTAAGAGGCATATCTTCAAAGAATCAATTCTTGCGCATGTGTGTTTGAAAACTCTCCTGTTTAGTTTGTGTCTTGGTAGAAATGACAGAGTATATTATATGTAGTATTTTACAAAAAAAAAAAAAATCTGTATATTACTAACTTGCCTGAATAGTGATATAAAACAAAAGAGACAGTGAAAATATGTGAAAAGAGAAACTATTTATTGAATCAATTTAGTTTGGTTAGGTTTGTCTGACTGTATTTATTCTGTTTTTTTTTCAATGAGCCATCCTGAAAGGGGAGAGTGGGTTGCTTTTGGTTGCTGGCATTGACCTGGAAGATCATACAGTCCATAAATGCCCACCAGTTTGTCCATTCCAAAATGAGTTTAAGTTGTCTTAAGGAAATTTTTAGATGCTTGAAAGGGAATATTGTGATGTTTATTACTAAAAATGTAGTCACAGGACTTGAGTTTATTTCATGCTTTTCTTTTTCTCACAAGCTGTCCTTTTATTCTTCCATTTTATTTTGGAGGGTTGGAGGGGGAACGAGTGTTTGTAAGCTGATTTCACTTGATGATCCATTTCTGTTGGAACATACCTGAGAAGAAAACAAACAGAATATTTGAGAAATGGTAACCCAGCAATGTAGTCAAGATTTATAAAATGAGATGGGTCTTGCAAGAGCGATGCTCAGGAAATGATCCTGTCTCCTTCCTGGAGTATGCATGACTATGATAAACAGGGGTTTAAGGCAAAGCCTCCTGAGGAGGCTCAAAACATTGAAACTTGTAAAACTTTATCTCTAGTCCTTCTTTATTGAGTTCTTCTACCCAATTATCTAAAATGTATTGTTCTGCTGAGTGTCTGTGGTATGTTTTACAGAGAAGAGAAACAGAACTGTTCACTCAGGTGTAGACAGATAAAAAGTGCCTCACATTTTAGTTAAATTGTTATTTTCGTGGATATTTCAGGCTTTAAACTAAGGAAACGTCGCATCACCAATGAGCCTACAGGAGGAACAGGAAACTGCCCTCACCTGTTGGAAGCCATCCCATGTGAAGAGCCCTCTTGCTATGACTGGAGAATCACGGGGCTGGAGGAATGCATTCCTGACAATGAAAAGCCATGTGGCCCTGGTACACAGGTTCCTGTTGTCATCTGCATCAACAGTGATGGTAAGGCAGATGCTTTTTCCTACAGCCCACACCAGCTAGAGTGAAGATACTAAAATGTGGTCCAAAAGGGTTATTCTCAGCTTTCTTGATCCTTAAAACCAAGCTGTCTGGAATAGATATAAATGTCCATTAATACTGGAGAGGAAGGGTAAGACCTCTAGACCAAGTTCCCTCACCTACACTGTGCACGGTTTCAAAGCTTCAGAAAATGACTTAGAGAAAATTAAATAGAATACGGCTATTGTTTGCCAGTAGATCAGATTCATGCCTGCAGTGGCTTGACTGAATTCCCTGATGTAATCCCACTAACAAAGCTGATCCTCTGAGCCTAGAAACAAATAAAATGTGAGTAAAGTAAGATGCATTGCAGTATAGCTGGAAGAAAAATAATAATATGTTTATTAAAAAGGATGGTTTGATGAGTGTTACAGAGTTGGGTTGACAGTCCAAGCTATCTTGCTTCTTCAAAAGGTCAAAAAAATTACAACCATTATTCAATTATCTTCTGTGAGACAAAACAGATCTTGCATGACACAGGCATAAAAGCCAATTTTGAAAGCTGCTTACAGAATACTTTAATCTACTGAAGGTTCATGAATTACCATTGTGAGAATAGTCTTTATTCATTAGCAATATTAAAGTCTAGAGCAGCAGATAAATTAAAATAATTGTATTAACTGCAGCGTAGTATGGCAAGCGGCTTCTAAGTTCCAACAGAGAAATAAGTAAGAGGACACCTCTGATGAGTGTTAACAGCTGCAAAAAATATTTTGAAATTAGATCAGTCAGAAGTAATAAGAACTGATTATAGAGATATTTAAATCTTCAGCTTTCATGCTGAAGACTGTTGGTTGTAATTGAGTTTTGAGGATTAAATTGAAATGCTTTGAGTTAGAATGCAAGCTTTATTTTTCTGCATACACCTAAGAGAACTAGTAACCATTTTTATAGCTCAGAAAGAGATTAGCCTAGAATTACAATATTCCAATATTCAATCTAGCATATTCTATGTCCTTAACTCAAAAAATTTCCCTTTGCAATTTGATAATTTCTTGGCAACAGCACTGAAACTATTTGCAGGGGTTTTTGTATATATATTCAGATGAAAAATGGCCTTTTCCTTGTAAATCAAGCTGTTTCGTAAATAATTGTGAAGACACTTTAAAATCTGTAAAATAAAAATACTATTTTTTGCTTTACTAGATTATGGTTAGTTTGGCTTGCCTTTATTTTGAGGAATTGTGTTTTCTCATACATCTAACCTAATTTCTTTCTAAACTGTAATATAGTAATTTATATTGACTATAACTTATTGTATATTTGGAGCATGCAATTGATCCATTAAACTTTGAGATGTCTTTTATGTATATGATATTTTCTATTGAAACTTAAAGGATTTGCCCTTGGCACTTCATGGACTTTGGTTTTGGCTAAATTTGACTTTGAAGATTTGTGTTTAACTTTATTACTCCCAGTATTGGGTTTTGCCTCTCTGTCTTTCTGAATTATATAGCATTATATATTGCTGTTAATATATGACCTTATACATTGCCTATATCAGTAATCTGCCTCAGAAAGAGTGAGAAGTCAAGGTTTGGCCTATCAGTCTTTAAGATTAAAGAGTTGTGGGCTTAGCTTCAAAGAAAGGAGAAAACAAATTGCAATTATATCTTGTTTTGTAAAGATCTGATCACCCATTCATCCAGTCACAAAAATATGTGTTCAGTTACGTTTGAGAGAGTGCAAAAGCAGTGGAGAGAAACGTAATGAATTGCTCCAGCTCCTCTTTTGAAATTTCTTCTTTGAAATTCCTTCCTTTAGAAAAAATCTTCCGTGTACTTCACTAGTAATACCAAGTGTCTTCTTCGCTCTCTCCTGAGAAGGATTAGCATGATGCAGTAGAAGCAAACAAAGACCCACCAACCTCAGCAATCTCCCCCCAACACTGACTCTGCTCAAGCATCTTATTACTTTGCCTCCCACAGCACCAACCCACTAGAAATCGTGTAGACAACTCTTAGATACTTTCTAAACACCACCACCTCTTCCCAGGTAGTTCCCATCTTGTACTTTGGCCTCTTACCCTGGCAGTCAACAGAATATCCATGGTGGCCTTCAACACTTGTTGCAGGCATCTAGATTCTGCTCTGCAAAATACGAGAGCAACACTTTGCAATCAGGCAAGTTTTGCTTCAAGCCCCATAGCTTCAGGCTAGTTCCAGTAAAAAAAAAGTTTGGAGAATGCTTCTCTTCCATTGTCGAAACATAATGGTTAAAATTATTAATCATAAGAAATTTGTGATATTCGGTGTTCTTTGAACACTTCTTGGGGAAGTCTGCATTGGCTGTCAGTTAAATACTGTACATTTATTAACAGGGTACATAATTGATATAATAATTATGTGTTACCATATTTTTGATCTTAGCACACAGGGAATTTCAGTTTTACAGGTAAAAGTGACCCTGAAAGAAAACAGTTTGGAAAGCATTAACTATTGCATAAGATTCCTCTTACTCAAATTAAACTAATCTTTGCTTGGCAATATTATCTTCTGTCTCTTTAAGAGTTATTATTATTACTACTACTACTACTATTATTATTATTATTATTATTATTATTATTATTATTATTAGGTATTGAGCCAAACTTAATTCTTAAAGTGCCTGGATAGGAAGGGTTGAAATGAAGGGACTTAAATGTATTCAAAGAAAGAGCGTATTGTGCCCTTGGCTTCTGCTTTATAAAATGAAAAAGGCTGATATTTCTGACTAAGCACTGTACCCTAGATGGATAAAGCTCTGTAGCTTTAATGTAATATAAACCCAACACTGATTAGTAGCTTCTCTTTCTGTGCATGGTTGCATTGTTCTATATGTCTAATGCATGATTAATTGGGGTAATATGTCTTGACCTGGATGTTTGGCTTCTCAGTTAGAATCAAGCAGCAATGTTTGTGAAGTTGTTTAATATAATTGGAATTAGCTTTTCTCTTCATTTTGGTGTTTAGATAAGAGCCATTACAGCCTTTGAGACAACAGCAAACAATAGGTTATCCTCCCATCTTATTGCTGGAGGCCTGTGATTGTCACTCTTTCCACAGCGGATGGCAGTAATCAGAATTTTCATTCATGCTGAAAAATACATGACATTCCCCAGGTTGTCATTGCGGAGGCTATAATTAACTTTGATGTAATTTATTATATAAATGGAACTTCAGTCTTTTACTGTGGCAAGAACATTTCCAGAATAAATATTGTTAGTAAATCTTCCAGGAAATTTTACAAAGGAGTTTTTTAGGTGAATAAAACACCTTTTGGTTGTGGAAGCTCCCAGACATGACAAAAAGTGATCAGAATGCTTTCATTGTATAGATAATTTTAATAACATCTGTTACACATGTTCCATTATACAGATTAACTTTTGGTAATGCTAAATTGACTGTTTAAAAATAAATTGATATTAATATTTTTGTTGTATATGTAATATATGCACACACACACACACGTGTGCATACTACCTATTATTAAGTGTATTAAAACAATTAACATACAGAAGAGTAATTTTAGAACAGATGAATTTGTTCTATTTCTCTGTAGCTATGACTGTGAAGAATACAGTTTCAAACATATCTCTGCATTATTTAAAGTCCATAGTGAGAAAGCTGGCCGCTTCTCCACTTTGTTAACAGACATATTTGTGTTACTCATGTGTTATAAGGAAATATAATTTCTGACATAAAAATCTGTAATATTAAGTGCTGATGAAATGCCTTAAAATTCTTGTTCACTTATTTTTTCATTTTTTCTTTGGGTTGAAGGCTGTAGCTCAGGTACTGGCATTGGTTGGAGTGTACTTCTAATCCTCACACAGTCATCTGAAATGACTTGCTCATTTTCTAAGAATTTGTAAATAATACATTGGTCTACAGCCTTTATAGCATATTGGGCTTTGTACTGCTCCATGTGTTACTCCAGACAAAACAGATCTCACTTTTGAAGCACAGATTTCTTCGAGATCTTGTTGGAGCTCACTAATTGTTGGTTATGGTAGCTCTAGAGGGGACAGACAAGAGTGGACTCATTGCCATCTTCTGCCTCACAGCTGAGAGTCACTTGTCTTGGAAGAAGGAGCCGTGGCAACATCAAGGCTCTTTGTGTGTATGCAAATTCCTACAACTCTATGAAGTATCAGAATTGCTGCTGAAGTTGTGTAGGCAGAGGTGCATGATGATGTAGCTGAGTGCCACAAATTCCTCTCTGGGACCTGTATGGAGGTGGGTGACACAGGTCTGTTTTTTCTGAGACGGACACCACACATATCAGTATTTTCTGATGTAAATGTGAGGATTTTACCAGTTTTGCAATACTGGAGACAAAGCAGTAGTGTTGGTATTAATTAAAAGATATAGAAAGTAGAAAGTCTGTTTTGTTTAGACACATTGTCTAATAGCTAAATATATTAATATTAATATATTTAATATTAATATTAAACCAATAGTTTAGCTATTTTGTCAAGAGCTGAACACTATAGTGACCAAAACAGAACAAAGGGCATTTCCAGGATACCTGTCCTTTATCTGTGCTTATTCTCAGCTAGTGAGACTAACAAAAAACTCCATACTTCAGCAATAAAGCATCTTATGTTTTATTTGCCTTATTGTTTTTCTCAAGAGTTAGAAATACTTATTTCTGAAATACCTCTTCTATTTTGTTGAGTTTATTTTAAAGTAAATCTTACAATTTTTTTCATCTAGTTTAAATTTTCTTTTATAGTTTCCTGGTCAATATCTCAATTTCCTTCCTTAATTTTTTTGGTTGTGGCTTTATATCATCTTACAATAAGCATCTAATGAAATATGTAGAATAAATTTCAGGAAAAACTGAGGTTTTGCCGGTGCAACAATTTTTATTTAAATTATTTTGGCTGGTTTCAGAATTGGGTCTTTCTCTATATTTATGGTTTGAATCAAATGCTAACAGAGCAGTCTTCTGGTCGTCAT